GTTGGAAACAATTGTCTCTACCATAATCATTAGTTGGATTGTTTCTAGCGTTCAAGACAGCGGAAAGAAAGTGAAAATAAACCTGGTTGAATAATTTTGGTACCCACTGTACATTGTAGAAAAAAAAATTCATTTGAATATTTAGGCTACTATGCATGCTGATTTTGAATATAATAAGTATTCGATTTCATATAAACAACAATCTGTAGAAGTGTCATTTGAACCTTTAATACCAGCTTTAGTACCATTTGGTTCACCGAGTACAGCTAATTTTTCATCATTTGTGGATGCAAATATTTCACCTTGGCTAGCTTTTCCTCCACTTTCAATTTCCCATCACACAAAATGTGCTTCAAACATTTATAATTTTTCTCAACCAGCTCATATTCGACCAGTTAGTATGAGATTAAACATAATCGGTGATATACTTCAGCATATACCATCTGGAATTTATACAAATGCAGGCGATCAACCGTTAGGTGCTTGGCAAATTGATGTATACACAACGATTACGTCGACATATGAATGTCCTTAATTTTTCTTTCATATGAAATAAAATCAATTAAAGGAAAGAAAATTATTTCACTTATGAAACATTTCATATATATTTACTATTTGATTTAAGTTTATCAAATCCTTAGATACATCGAGCTTTCATTTATAAGAGTAACCTTCAAAGCTATCACCATTAACTGAATTATAAAAATTTATCCCTTTTTCTATATGCCAAAAGATATTATGCAACGATTCATTTTTGAATTGCTTAATTTCCTTAGATATTATTTAAATGTTAACCCTCTTTATTAGTTAATAAATATAGTTGCCCTATTTGCACTGAAAATAGTTCGTATGCCGCTTTGAAGTTGTAATGTGCCTACCAAAACTTACTGTGGAATTTGTAATATCAGGCAAACTGATTTTTTGGTAAGTTTTCTAACGATTCAACCATTGACTTTCATGATGCAAAGATTGATCAGCAAAATAACTTTGATATGCTTCAAATCTTCTTTTACGTGATTTTATAGAAAAGAAGTGACTTTAAATTTGATGTTCAATGATTTAGAACATATGAAGTGATCTCATCAGGTTTACACTCACTAGGCTTAATACCATTGAGTTTCTTTTTATGAAAATATATCAAAACAAATGTCTATAAAACGACTATTAACGATCTGAATCATTTAAAGATCATAATGATTCAAGAAAATGTTTATCTACATATAAAAAAAAGACTCAATTTTCGTATTTTGATTTGAGGTTGGTTATAGATTTGAAAGTTATTTTTAAAGTTTTCTTGTGTAATTAAAAAATTGTCTATAAATCTATCATTATAAAACAACTAGTTGAGAAAATTAAATCGAATAGTAAAGATATACTAATACGCTTTCAGGAACGGAGTTTTGATACATACTGCATATATATGTTCTGTTAATAATTCATTCTTCGTAGATGTTGATGAATCTAGTTAAGTTCCTCTGGAACGAATGTCAAGAATTTTGATTAAATTGTTTTCTTTCTATGCTAGGCATAATCATTTTGAACATCAATCTAACAGCATCTTAAGATGAACAAATGATAGTCATAAATATATCTCACTTGTTTATAGAGGTCTGTATCACGGTCATAACCAAAACAAAAGGAAAGTTTTTTTTTTCAATAGTCTTGCATAATGAAAATAGTTTGAGTTAAACCTTTTGCTCAAAATTTTCTCCTTTTCAAAATGTCGCTTAGGACGCAAGGATAGGACAATTACCAGTAGAGAAAAATGTTTTGCATTGTTTGTGGTGAGCGCTAGACATGACAAATACACAACATTTTTCTCTTCCAGAGATTATTCTATCCGCAAATTCTAAACGGTATTTTCAAAAGAAGACAAATTCTAACGGAAGGTCCAACTCGAACTATTCTTCTAGTCTCATTAGAACAAACTGTTGTGAAAAACTTTCCCTTTTTTTTTTCTTTGGATCACGACTATGATCATGACTCAAACGGCTAATTGCTAATTATTTCGTATATAAAATTTAATAACTACAACTTGTATATATATATATATATAAATACTATATTAAACAAACTTTAATAAACTAAGCAATGTAAAATATCTTACTTGAAAATAATAAAACAAAGAATAATTTCTGTTCATATAAAAATTTATTGATAGAAATTTCAATGATTCACATACTAAGCTTAATAGTTTTCATTGATCTTAAATAGATTTTTCTTTTTATCGATGCCCACATAATTATTATTTTTTATTCAAAACAAAATCTCTTTTGTTCTCAACAAGAGAACATATTGTTTGCATGTTAACAAAATCTATATTTCATGTTAAATGAAGAAAAAAAAGTCAAATATGCAACTATAAACAATTTCTCTTTTTTTTTTTTTTTTTTTTTGTTTTTTTAATATTTTTTTTTTTTTTATAATTAATAAATATAAAAATNATATTCATACTGCTCAGCAGAATGATATTTTGAAAAGTCATGGTGCTCAGCACTATGAAGTTTACCAATTAATAACTAATTAATTAAATTTCTTTAAGAACTGGACCAAGATTCCTATCGGACTTGCTGTCTGGACCGAAAAATCACCGGAATTTTGGACCAGGCCGAAAAGTTTGGGACGAAAAATTCTTGGGCCGAAATTCATGTAACCCGTTTAAATCATTTTTATGTGCTTTAAAAAATTACACTGACATATATTATGAATATACCAATTTAGTATGATTTTTGCTGGATTTGAAGGAAAAAATTCATTTCTAGAACTTCTTTAGTATTTTTCTCAAAACATAGTTTCCAGATAGGAAAATTGAAATAACTTCCACGCGACTCAGGGAATAACCGATGTTTTTTTTGTTTTACAGGTCTGAATCAGATCTAACTTTTCAAAAATGAATGGAACGAAGTTTCAAAATTCTGTCCGATGAAAAGTTGTGCACAGAGGCTAGCTTTAATTTGAAACCAATCCGAGCTCTGTACCTCTTATAACAATGAATTTATTTCGATTCTTCTAGAAGCTATTAAATTTACCACAAGCATTTCTCACTAGGACCATTTATTCCTGAAAATTTCAGTCCAAACGACCAGTTCGAAGTGGTAAATCATTTCTGAGCGGGGCGGGGGGCTGCCTCAAACTGCAAAGTGCAGACTATCAGAAAAAATTTTAATTAAAATTTTTGAGAGATTTTAATCACTGAACTTGTGTTTTTACTAGAATGAAGCGTGTGTCATTTGATATAACTCGTCAAACTGTATTTGGCACAATATATTTCTGTGTTGACCAAGTCAATAGGGCAACTCGTTTTCGAAAAACTTCAAATCAACTGCTAACTTTCTTTACATAAATTTTTCTTTATTCAAACAATGAAAATATTAGGAATTCTCTAAATTTTAGTGTACCCTGTATGATATATTTATATATCTGCTTTTGAAAATGAACATGTATCAATTGTTTTTCAAATTAAAATTAGTTAATATCTTACAGATATCTCCTGTTCAAGTATATTGCTGAGTCAAAATATTGATTGTATTAAGTTATTAGGTTTAATATGAAAAAGTACGAAAAAATGTTGATTGTTTCAAATTAGTGCCTTACAACTCGGCTGCATATTTGATACGTGATTCAGATCGGAGCATGAATTTAGCTATAGAATTGTCAAGTCAGATTGAATACAGGACTTGAAGAAAATTGTTCATCCGAGTTTAAATATGATCACATAATTACATTGCAACCGATAGGTATAAACATTCTAATAATTTAGGATTATTGTCATCGTTCCAAACTATTCTTATTTGGAGATACTAATGTGAAAAACTGTTCGAGCATGCTTTTACAAAACTGTCATACATGAGAATAGCTCACATGTATAGACAGATATATTTTGAATGTGATAAATTGTAGAACGAATGATCAAGCACATGAAAAACACAGTTTATTCGAAAAGTGACAGTATATTATCATGAGGAAAAACGTATTCATGTGTATAAAGGATATCTAATCAGTTTTGACCTTCTCAAGTAATATTCTTACATGTTTCCTTCCTGAAATAGACTGCCATTCTTAGAACGCAATAAAAATGTACATCAATGATAACATATACGCTCTTTAGATTGATCTATTACTTATTTCAATTGATTTGGTAATTTTTCCATCATTTGCTAATATTTTTCTGGAATAAAAGTTTTCAATTTTTGCATTACTGGATTTTTTTTTTGTTTTCCTATTAAAACAAACACAGCATATAAATTAATTTATCTACTCATGTAAGTCGTTGGTATAGTTTTTTTTTTGTTTTTACATAGTACAATCACCAGGCAAAAAAAGATCATACAATTCTTTTCCATTGATAATTGTGTGAATAAATCTTAGCAGAAAAGAGTAATACACGGAAAGAAAAAATTATTCGTAGCATAACAATGATCGAATAACTCTAATCTTTTTTTTTTAAAGCTGACTTTTCTAAAACTAATTCAAACTTCTCATACGAATTGTACATTACTTATTGTTATATGTGTAACTATAAGTACTAGAAAGTTCAAAACCTAGTGTAGAGTACATCTAGACATGTTGTATATATCAGCCTATTCTCCTGAAGAAACATAGAAAAAAGAATTTTACCGGAGAGGATGAGAATTCATTAAATACCTCTTATGTTTATGTATATAGAAAATTGCCATATTTTACCTCGATATGTTGTTTAATTCTACCCTCGCTAACAATTAGAAAAAGTGCATTTTCAGTCATACAAAAAGATGTTTTTCACTGATTTATATAGTCATTCGGTAACCAATTCACTTAATTCATTCATTTTCTTGAGTATTTCTTTCTTTTTTGTTGTATGTATCGCTCAAATTAAATTGAATATTTTTAAGAAAATAAAGTTTGGAAAAGTATTATGACTGGAAAATCTACCAGATATTGGATACCATCGAGTGAACGCTGAGTACAGCTGTTAGGATTCAGCTTGGACTTGAATACATAATTATTATACCACTTTCATTTTGGATAATGAAAACTGTTGTCAAATCAGATTCAGATACAAAAAACTTTGTACTATCTGCGTAGGATACTATTTAAAATATTCTACTGATTGTTTTTTTTTGCAAAGAATACTGCTTGATAAGATCGTAAATGTGTTACTACCTTAGCTTCCATTTTCAGTGAGTTAGAGAGATAGAGCATGAAATTTTGTACTTTTCTGAGAATTTATATGTTTGGTAAATCTTAAAAAAGAAACAATTTTTCAAAGACAAAAGTGTCATCAGAGATCTATCACTTTTGTGTAATAATTATGATAACGATATTTTTCATCTCTTATAAACTTAATATGGAAACTAAAACTGTCGATCCATCTAGTTTTTCATACTCTAAAAATTGACATATTGATCATGTTGATCAATTAGTTTATGCAAAATCAGACAGGTACGATATCTCATCCGCTAGACTCTGTCTAAACTAATTGTATAACATATTATTTTGTAGAGCGTGAAAACCTACATAAATCTATAGTATTAGTTTTCATATTGAGTTTACAAAAGAAAAAATTATCGTTACCATAGTCATTATGCAAAATTAATCGATCGCCAAAGACTATTTAGTCTTTGAAAAATACTTTTCTATTAACTAAAAGATAAATAAACAAATACACAGAAATGAGCAGACTGTCATGCCCTATCTGTGTATCCTATTGAAAATGAAACCTAAGGGAGTAGCAGATTTACGACCTTATCCTACGGTATCCTTATCATCAAAGCTTTCTAGTATGTCATTTTTGACACTAAGTAATGCAAAGAAGAAAATGATTTCAATATATATACTTGATTAGAGATGTTAGCAAATCCTATGATAAATAGAATCTTTTTAGTCAAAATAAAAAATCTTGCATGTGTTAATAAAGAAATCAGGTTTTTTTGTAATTTCAAGATTTGATAACTATCAATATAAATCGACTGAATAAAAAAAAGGACTCGATCACAATACGACTAATCATATTAATATCTTCAATGATTGAGCAAAATGTCTAATACATGATACAAAAAAAGATTTTTCTCATAAATGTCGAGAATATTTTCAAGTATTTCTATGTATGATATCAATTGTATTAGTTGAGTAACTGCAAATTCATCGATTTCTAATGATGCAGATCGTTACATTTCATATTATGTTATTTAGTAATTACTTTCAAACTGGCTGATTCATATTCTAATTTGATAAGTATAAGCAACGACATTATCAATACATTTGTGAGAAAATATTTCTAACTGCTCTACTGTTCCTAAGAATTTTTTTCTTTATATAACAAAGAAAATTTCTACAAAAATTTTGTTCTAATATAAACTACTACAAAAACCAAACATAACTAAAAATACTTATGTGTAAGTTTTCTAGCATATACTATCTGCTAACCGTATACAGTCCTTGATTTAGTAAGTCTTCTTAAATTATATTGATATATACAATATAAACAGCTGTTAGACAGTCTTCTTCTAGAGATTCTATCCAGATACAAAATCAATTAAAGAAATCTATGTTGTAAAGAATAGATCAGAAATAATAAAAAAACGATATATAAACTGTACAATTAGTCCAACATATTTTATTCTTTCATCATACTTTAATTTATCTTTCAACCTAAAATATATAATCAATCACATGACGACACATGAAAAAAAGAAAACAAAATATAACTTATTTTCATTTTTGAATTCAATGGAAAGAAAATAGGTGCATATATTAGACTATATTCTTCCTAAAAGACTACCCTTAATGTTATTGTGATTTACATGAAATCTATGATACAATTAATTTCATGTGACAGATGGTTTGTCATCCGCCCACTTGCATAATGCGTTATCATTAGCCAATTAACAAGAGATACACCCTCTCAAATATTTGTCACTTCCGGAGAATATCTACGCAACTAATAGATACAACATTATACAAACTACGGAGTAACATCGTTGCTCTTTTTTTTATAAAATAAAATTATTGTTTGTTACAGGTAGTCTTCTAGTGGAAAATTTTGATGAAAACATATATATGTATATATATGTAATCCATTTTCATTATTACTTTTCTAATTAATCTCAAATAAATTTTTAAAGAAGTATTATTTCAATCCAACCATCTTTTCTATTAATAAATTAATTCGTGTCACACCTGCAGACAACTTTTTCTTTTTTCTATTATTGTCATTGACAAACATACAGGCTCTTCTAATATATTAAATTCATCAGTAATGTCGATCATGTTAGATTTAATGAAAAATTCTTCTTGTTTCAAAGGTCATGTGGGCTGATAGAAATCTGTAATATTAATCTTTACTGTTAAGTAACTACCTAAAATCTATAGGAGACATAGTTCTAGATAAATAGTTCGTTCTATGGGCTAAATAGAAAATATGCCAATCATATGTAGCTATTTGCTTTTTCACACATTGTATAATGAAACAATAATGATGAAAATGGATAATACAAAAACCGTTCGCCCCCTCACTTAGCTAAGAATATCCTTTTAGTAGCTTTTTTTTCTCCATCCCACACTCAATATATGTGTTTACATGTCAACTCTATCACACAATTACTTCAACCATATACATACATAAATATCTAACATAATTTCATATTATATGAGAAAATCTGAAAAATACCAAAATGGTAAGTACAAAAAAAAGAACATACACACTAGCAAGCAAGAAAAACTTAGTTTTTTAACACTTTGTTTATACGCTTTTGCAATTTTTCACGTCGAATTATTTCTATAGAAATGTAAAAAATGATTAAATAAATTAAATTTTTTATACATACCAAATATATCAATAAACATATTTGTAATAGGCATAAAACGTAATAAATCATAGAGATTTGTTGTTGATCTTTCATTTACTACATCTACCATAATGTCTCGTAGTTCATTGAGTTGTTCTTCGAGTAAATCATTTTTAAAAATAATATCTCTCATTGTTTTCATATTTTCACAATCAAATCTTTCTTTTAAAATAAAAATAAAAACAATCTTAATAGGTTTTTATTTTTTTAAGATTTTTTTTTTCTTATACCTGGAAAAAAATATTCAATAAATTTATTTAAATGTTTATAAACAATTTGTTTTCTTTCGCTAATCATATCATTTAATGCTTTATATTGTAAATATTTTGTACTGTTAAATGAATAATCATTTAAATTTTCTTCTTGTCTTATATCAATAAAAAATATTCGATTTTCAAAATAATCCAGTATATCATTATATTTATTATTACATCGAAATTCATCTAATAAACGTTCACGTTCAGGAGAATTTAATGTATTTACTTCATCTATATCAGGACGTGTATAGAATGTTATCAATAAACATGAATTATTATAAGCTTTTCTAGTTAATACTGTTTCTATTAAGAATAAAAAAACAATGTGAAATTTTTCTTAAGTTTTTTCTTTTTGTTTTTACCATAAACTTCTGAAAATAAACTTTCTTCATCAGATGTAAATACATCCATACGAATACAATAGAAAACTAAATATAGATATTAAAATTAGATTATAGATTTTAAACTAAAATAATAATAAATACTTATATCAAAACCATTTCGAATTTCTTTAAGAAAAATAACAACTTTAAGTTTATGTTCATTTTCATCTTCTGTATCACGGAAACCAATTGTATCAATATATGTTACATTATGAAATGTTTTATAAAAAAAATCTTTTGTTTTTGATGATACAGAATTACCTAATGGTTGAGTTGAATTTGAAAGTAAATTAAATAAACTTGTTTTGCCTTAATTAAAAACAAGAAAAAAACAACAATTTAATTTAAGCATTTAGAATACGCCAACTGACCTGACCCAGTTCGACCGAGAAAAACAACGATTTTATTATCATTAAGGTCATTTGAAGTATTTTCATTATCATGAAGTGCAAATTCGTTATCATTCATGACTTTACGTTTTTTTTCTTCGTTTGAATGAATGAATTTAGATTAAGGAAAAGATAAATAATTCTCTTAAATATCCGGGAAAAAAATATTCGAAATGATTCGTTTACGATTATTTCTTTTATTCTTTCCTTTTCTGTCCAATATCGATCGTAAGGAAGATCTATACGATTACGATTCGTTCGTTCTATTTGACATGATTATATCTATTTGTGTGTATATTTCTAAAAAATAAATTTTAACATAAATGAATTATAAGCTGTTCGAATGAAACTACTTCTTTTGTCAAAGCAATCAAACTAATTTCAGGTAAACGTTTTTTTTCCTATGATATAAATTATTCAGTAGAACGTTGAATATATTAATTCTTTAGTGAAGATTCTCATTTTCTTTTGTTAACGAAATGCGTGTTCTCATATAATTACACTTGCTATAAAATAGAGAAGAAAGAGAACACGTATAATTGTAACCGAACATCATTTCATAGACTACTTTATTAGGTAGGTGGATATTGAGCAATTGTAATAAGTTGACTAACGAAAAGAAATTTTGCTTTTTTTCTTTCTTTTTTTGTTTGCTTTATAATTCGTGTACGCATAGAAGAAATAAGAGAATATTTAAAGTTTGAATACATATGTTGATTAAAATACAGAAAAATAGAATAATCTACTATTAAAATGCAAAAAATCACTGCACCAAAGTCAGGTGTGTTCTGTTTATTAATTTTAAGAATTGAAACGAAGAAGAAAAAACATTTCTACAAATTCTTCTCAAACATTTTCTTTCGTAATAATTTTTTCTAATAAACAAACTTTTTCTTTTATTATTCTAACCATAGCTTTTATATTACGGCTACGCGTGGCATGAGATGGAACAGAAATTTTGGAAACTTATCCTATTCCATAGAACGTTTATCAAAGGATTCCAATTTCATTTGTCTCATGCCACAGAGATCCCTGTTTTATACATATGAAAATATTTCTTATATAGAGAAGAAACAGACATATGAGCTTTAGAGGTAAGGAACAATTTTTTCGAAATCAACAAAATCAATTTTAATTTTACCGATGAAATCGTAAATAAACTTACAATTGTAGATCATTTTCTTCTTTCTTTCAACAAGACAATCTTCGCAATAGTCATGATATTTTAATTGTTTTCTTTTTGAAATTACTTTTATTCATTGTAATTCAGTTAACTAATTCTAATTTTTGAACGAATATCAAAAATTAAAGCAAATTAGAACGCTTTCAAAACAAAAATAAAAACTCAGAAAAACAATCACGATATGCATTTCATTGCATAAACATTGAAATAGAAAAACATGCAAAAGCTTTTAAAGTGCATGATTCACATCTTTCAATGTTTTTTTTATAACGGATGATCATTTTTGATTATAAGACAATTTTAACAAGTTTAGTTTTAAATCTGAAAATTATAATTATTTAAATAAAATTCTTTATTTTCTTTTAGCTTTTTTTCAATTAAATAATACAAGAAAATTTCATATAAAGTCATTTATTGATCATGTATCGTATGACAATTTTACTTGTTTTTTTATGCATTTTATTTCTTCAACAACAAGTTGCTTGTATTGAGTTTTCATCTTCTGACGAAATTGAAGAACGTCCAAGCCGATCCCATTCATCATTATCATCTTTACGTAAATCATGGATTAAACAATTAAAGGATATAAATGATAGTGAACAACATGATGATCTTGAACATGTATGGAAACGTCTTGTGTCAGAATTATCATCACTTCGACAAAGACGACGTTTTGGTAATACTCGTTATGGCCGTAGTTTACCTTCGGAATGGAAATGAAACATAATTCAATATTGATTCTATTTTCTGTATTACATGCATGTAATTTCATTATCATAATTATGAAAAAATATCAATAAAATGAAAACATGTTTATATATATAATCGTTTATATGTATTGAGCAATGCCAGACGTATTCACTTGTCATTGACAAGTCGATTTGTCTATCTATTTATCTATTGATAAGATATATATACAAAGGATAGATTTTATGGTTATTGAAGGTAGAAGAATAGAATGAGAGAGAATAGATATCATCAAGGGCTCTTCTCACTACTTAGTGATAGATTCAATCAGCAGTAGCACATCAATCTTATATATTAATATATCTAATTGCTCAAAATCAAACAAAAGAAAAGAAAAGAAGGTTGAACATATAATCTGACATCTGATAATCATTTAGCTAACTTTAAAACAAATGAATAATGTAAAGCGTGCATACTGTAGAAATCATTATCAGATTTAAATTATAATTGATAACAACACAGGAAAAGTCTATATTTGAACAGCCGTTTGACGGCATACTTAACTATTATTGTGATGTATTTATTATCTTGCCCGGAAAACAACACATTAATGTTCAATTGACAAGATAGAATAAGATATTCAACGTTTTATTACAAGATAAATATAAAGTCAAGTTCAAGAATGTTGACCTTCTTGTCTTTTTTCTTCTTTACTGTCAAATGATGAATTTCTATAGTTTTAGAGGGTTCTTTTTTTTTCTTTTCTATTCTTCTTGTTTATGTCTTTTATACCTTGATATAATCTATGGATAAAAAACATCGACACGAATGACGTGTGCGTCTGGTCAATGTTTTGTTGATTTATTTAAAATAATACAATATGAAAAAGGCGAGAGTTGTGCATCTCTCATTGATTAATTCTAATCACGATCTTTGTCTATCGATATAGTTAGAGACGAAAAGTGAGAAAAGAATGATTAGAGAATAGCGATTAGTTGGTGATGAACGATGCATAAGCACATACATTGTCATCTGGAATCATGCATTTGTCTCATATATGCTTAACAGAGCACAAATTGTTCGTTTGTAATAGAAGGTTGCTTTTCTTTCTCTCTTCGACGATTAATTGCGAAAGATTCAAGTAAATATTTATTATCTATCATCTTGTCTTTTCAAATATTCGATGAAAAAAAAATTATAAGATTAAATTATCAAAGATACCATAGAAATTTTTAATTCTTGCATCATCATGCAGTTTAGAGTTGATCGGTTTTTTTCCATAGGCGATATGCTCATTGATTCGTTCGAATAACATTTATGTATATATGCACATCAACTCTAATCAAGTGAATGTGCACAGCAGCCATCGTTACATCTTATCGACAACAGAGAGAGAGAGAGAGACAGAGTACATAAGAACAAAAAGAAATTGCAGAAGAATGTTAGCCATCATTTGTATTGAGCCGTCGCGTCAAGTGTGGGCGTGTGAGGAATTGTAGTGATGCTGCTGCCATTGAGACACACGATCATCATTATTATTAAGATTGTTGTTATGTGTATGCATGTCAGAAATTGATGATCGAGGAAAAAAAAGAAAGAATTTGTTTGAAAATACCGCTTTTGTCTAGTCTTCATATCCAAGAAGAATGCTTTTTTTTCTTTTTTTTGGATATCAGTAAGTGACAAATATGTTCTTTGTTAATGAACAATCTTTCTCATGCTATATATATATATACGTTTTACTACTATTCAGGGACACTTTTGTTCGGTTGAACTTTTTAATGTATATATAAATGGCATTGTAAAAGATAATAATTCTCTTTCGTTCTATTGTACAATGTATGAATATATCCAGTTGAGTCGTTTATTCATGCGCAAATGATGTGTGAAAGAAAATTTTCTATAGAATAAAATTTGTTCTTGTTGATGTAGAATGAACGATAGGATAGCAGACATTTGCCTATGCATGAAGCGTGTGTGTCTGCAAGGTGTGACTCTTGCATGAAATACAAATAATGAGTATGCTTGTCTTATTTTAGTATAGATTTTCACGACGAGACACTAAAGAATCGCCATCGGCTATCTTCGTCTGAACTCTCAATCTTTCTTTCTTTCTTCCTTTTTTTCTCAATCGACAACGGATCATGATGCAAGTCAGCGGCTGTTGTTAATGTCAATCTTACGTCTAGATCATCAATATTAGAATAGTTTCATTATATTTCATGCAGGTGAGATAGACAAAATAATGATATGTTCGTTTAGTTTTTTTTCTCATATTCCAATTTCTTTAGATTTATCACTATGTTCAATAGTTGTCCAGGATATTTAGACGATTCAGGTAATTTAACTTTTTTTATAAAACAAAAATGAATCTTTGTTTTATTTTGTTTTTCTGAATATTTCTAGGCGTCTGGAATAATGGTTTCAGTTGTCAACCAATTAATAATCGAGTTCGTGTTTGTTGTGGTCCAGAAAATCGACGAGAATGTTGTTTTGTTGATCAGCTTTCTCATCGATCCGATTTATCTTTTGATTCAGATCTTTCATCATCATTAAATAAAAATGAATCTCCTTTTGGCATAACACCTTCTTCTTATACATTTATTCTTATTGCTATTGGACTCACCTTGGTCCTACTTATCGTATTACTTATCACATTTATCTATGTTGTTCGTCGTAAATTAAATGGATCATCATCATCGTCATCTTCATGTTCGTCAGATACATCTTCAATTAACAAACATTGTCGTCGTTTATCAGTTACTGTGGCTAGTTCATCTAAAAGTAATGCAAGTAGTCCTGTTCCAAGTTCATATGTTGATTATTGGTCACGTACAATTATTTCACCATCTGAGTGGACACTATCAAAACCTTATAATTCATTTGTAGGAGGACAGCCTAGTAACAATCATAATTATTATATTGACTAGTAATAACTAATTATATTTATACATTTTCTTAAGTTTTTTTGTTTTTTACATTTATGTCGTGAAGTCAATAAGAAAAAAATTTAATTGATGGATTTTTTTTTCCGTTGTATTGCAATAAAAATTTTAATAAAATAATGCTTAAATATAGTAATTAAACTTAAATCGAAAAAAACAAAAGACACAAATACTCCAAATTTCAATCGGTAATTATTTATCTAATTAATGGCAATTTATAAATGGATTTTAATAATCAAAAAGATATTTTAAAATATTAGAAGCAGTTGTGTATTATTATAAGGAAAGGAAAGAAATTTCGTTGCGAAACAGAAAGCGACACACTTTAGGAAAAGGATAAAGAAAAAAAAACAATATGATTTATTTTGTATTGGTCAATTCATTTTTTTTTGTTATTTCCAAGGTAAAAAGAAAGTAAATATGATAGTATGTTGACAAATAGAGATGAATCATCGATTCAATATCAAATGAGAAGCGTTTATGTGATTTGATTGGTCAGTTTGTTTCGATTATTTCTCGAGTATAGTCAATTTTCTAGAACAAAACTAAAACCACAGTTCGATGGGGAAAAATTGCCTCTATCGACCGATATAAATCAAAAATTCGACCCATCTAATTGTTTTCAGAAATCGTCGCAAATAGTGTATTTGATGTTGATTTGATTAACACGCTATACTTTTTTCGTTCTGTCAGCATACTAGGAAGAAGAATTTTGTGTAAATATAAATCGAAATAATCAGATAGTTTTTTAAAAGTTTATTAGCCATTATATAAATATATATATATAGACAATGCTATCATGGTTGATGGCAACATCAAGTAAAACACCTTATCAAGTATTGGAAGTTCCTGAAAATATTGATTATGTTAATTTACGTACATACTATCGAAAAATAATTCATGATTATAAAAAAAACAAAATTACAGATGAAGAATTTCAATCTAAAATTCGTGCATATGAAACATTATCTGACTATGATAAACGTAAAAAGTATGATTCTAAAAAGACATGGATATCGCATTTAACATTGACACAATATACAACACAACAATTAGCTGCTGAACCTGCTCTAATATCAATTTTAAGACATCGAATATATAATGCTAATTTAACAAAACTCAATGCTCAAGATCCAGAAACAGGTCATACAACACTTTACTGTGCAGCACGTGCTGGTAATATCGAAGCTGTACAATTTTTAACGGAACAAGGAGCCGAACCTGACTTATCACAACGTACGAAAAGTACAGCTTTACATGTTGCTTCGTATTATGGACATGCTGATGTTGTTCGTTGTCTTCTGGAAAGTGGAGCCAATTATCGAATATTAAATGTAGGTAATAAAACAGCGGAAGACGAAGCTTTTAATGAAGATGTTAAATGTACTTTTATTGAACTGAAACAAATTTCATACGTTAGAGCTGCTGCTAATGAAATTGATTGGTTTTCGAACAATATTTTACAAGAACATATTGATGAAGAATATTATTCTCAACGTCAAACATTGTTACATTGTGCTAGTAGAAAAGGTCATTTTGATCTTGTACGTTTATTTATAGAAACATTATCGGCTAATATGGATATTGTTGATGTTAATGGAAATTCTGCTTTACATCTTGCAGTTTATGGTGGTCATGTTGAAATTGTTCATTATCTTCTTAATCAAGGTTGTAATTCAACTCTTTACAATCGATGGGGCTTAACAGCTGAAAGAGAAGTTAGGAAACATGGTAATAAAATAATTGATATTTTTCAATCTATACGTAATCAAAATATGTTTGAAATGGCACATAAAGGTATAGATTGGTGGTTTCAATATTATTTTGATACTACGTCACCAGATACAACTGATTCTGAAGGTATAAGTTTACTCTATCATGCATGTTATCATGGACAGTATACGATTGCTAAATGGTTACTAGAACATAAAGCTAATATTAATATTCAAATGAGAGAAACACCAAAAAATACTTCATTACACATAGCGAAATATTATGGTCATCTAAAAATTGTTGAACTTCTACTTGAATATGGTGCAGATATAACTATTAAGAATGATTATAAAGCCACTGTTTTTGAAGAAAAATTTTCTGAAGAAGTCAATCATGATATAGCAAGACAAATCGATAAACTTTTATTACAGTATCGAAACAATCTAAAGCATTATAAATTAATTGATGTTCATATATATTCAGATGAAGATCAAGATGATGATCCAAAAGTTAAAATACAATTGCATCATGCTGATACATATGATGATCTATTATATGCATTGCCTAGCTATTTAAAGAAAGAACATAATTATTTTTCTGTTGCTCGACGTCCATTAAATTTTGAGAAAAAAGACACAACTGTAATATCTGCTGTATGTCGTGCACGTTATCTAAATTCAAAATTTATTGATACACCACTTCGTCTTACTCTTCATCAGAGTCCGATTAATGAAAATAATAGTCATCGATGTATTCGACAAGATCCTCAATTTGATTTTTATTCATACAATAAGTACTTTCGAACTAAAGCAAGTGTCACTAATTTTCAATTAAAACCTTCAATAGATAAGCAAACCATAAACGTTGATGATTTAATCTTCACATTCTCTGGAGGTTCTATCAAAGATAATATTAAATTTGAAGTTAGAACACTTTTGTCTGTTGATATTCAAATGTTTAATTTACCAGGATGCATCTGTTTGTTCGAAACAAGTCTTTATGAAGATAATTACAAACTTCTTGAACTTCCTTTCGTATCAATGATTAGTCAACCATATGCTCGTCTGTATACATTGGCTATATCTACTCCTTATTGGTTTGGTTGTGACACTCGTCGAACACGTCTTCCAATGCTTGATGGAATTCATGCATTCATACAACATGTTAGTGTTATTCCAATCGAACTTATATTACCAGTAGATATGATTATCGCAACTACTATTGAAAAACCATTAATTACACGAGAACAACCTGTCAGATGTACTTGTTTAGTTTTACAAGAGCATGATTCGATTAACTTTCCAAAGATAGCTTATCATGCAACGAATATTTCAGTTGTTCGATCGATTCTCGTCGATGGACTCGTCGTACCGGGGACAGTAGTCAGCAATGGAAAACGTGTCACTCGTCGTAAAAATCATATCCGACGGAATCGTGAGGCTTTCAATATTGCTGATTTTGCTGATGCTATTTTTTTAAGTCCTAGTGTACATTATAGTTCTGATCCAACATATGCCGCAGCATTTTCCGATGGTGATCAACAATTGCTACCTATTCTTGAATGTAGCGTGAAGAAAAATGGTTATTCTCACTTTCCATGCACTGTTCCAAAATATATTCCACATCCAGACGATAATATGGAAGCCATTGAATGGCGAGTTCTAGATCCAGAAAATGTTACAATAAATACTGTACTATTCGTTCCGACGATCGATTCACTTGAAACTACAAAACAAGAACGAATTACTAAACTTACTGCGAGTTTAAGTGATACATAAAAATGATGATAAAAAACAAACAGGAAAATAATATTTGATCAAGTCTCTGTTGATAAATTTAATACTACATTTCTTTTGTTTACTGTTGAAGAAGATTCTTTTTTTATAGTCCCTTTTGTATAAAACAAGATTTCACTGAACATAACTATGAACTCATAACAGTAGTTTCTGTCACATTTCGCCTTGAAAACTTTCTTTTGAATCGGACGTTTTTCGAACTTCCGATCATCAAAAACCAATTAGACGAATATTGAAACTAGGTTAAGAGATCGTCACTGTTCATGGTTAGGAGAACATTTTGTGACTTGAGCCGATCCTTAACTCAACAACTTTTTAATGACTGAATTTGATCAGATATGGCCTCTACTCTGTTATAATTTTTAATTTCCAAGCTTAATCACATAAAACTGGTACTAATTGTGCCTGAAAAAAATGTTTGACAGTATCTGAATAAATATTTAATGTTTAATTCGGGCACTCTAGTCTTAATTTAAACATGCTAAAATGAGCTATAAGTTACACAGTGTATGATAAACAATGTCACAAGAAAATGGACGGGTATCCCGTTCACTGACAAATGGTGACTGATGAAAGATTGTTTGGTCTCTTGTTATTCGCACAGACCCTTGTGTGCCAATGAAGATTTCTATATATATATATGTACAAATTGAAATAAATAGACAACATTAGTTAGACATGAATACTTCAAATAACTGCAACATTAATGCATTCAATTTACCCGACAAAATGTTACCTGTACTTTGAAAGAAAATGAATATGCTCGATGTACCGTATTCACTAGTGAATATGAATTATTCTATTTCTCCTAAAGAAAATCAAATTCTTGACAGAATTTGCCAAAAAAAAAATTTATCTCGAATTTCTCATCAAATAAACAAACTCTTGGTTGAACCAAATTCAATGGAACGTATTCTTCTTGTTGTCGACTATCCTCAACTTCATTCGTTGTCTCTTGTTACCTTTTATGAAGAAGCATTGCTAAAACATTTAAGAATTAGTTTTTATTTTTATTCGATTTAATCCTCAAAAAACAAAATCTTGAAATTATTAAATATTCATCGATGATCCTCTTTTTATTTTTCATTTATAAAAGACGATATAATTCTTCATTGTCGTCTAACTGAATAAATCACACACCTAAATTTTCGATAGACGTTCTGAAATAATAACAAACTTATTTTCTCAAGATGCATCAAGTATATATTCATTGATATTATCAGTGTGTAAACATTTAACAGTTTTTTTCTTTAGTCAAGGGTTATATGATTCAAGTTTATAGCTTTCAACGAATTATAAGTCATCTAAAATTTGTATGTCTTCTACTTTAACTAAATTAAAAATCTATGTACCAGGTTTTGATGATTGCCTTTATTTTCTTGATGGACATTTAGGTTTTAGTAAACATTGATCTTTCATTATCAACTATACATAACACGGTACGGATAGAAGATAATGCCAACTTGCAGTAGTGAACAAAAGTCTCCTATCTACCAGATCTTAGTTTCCATACATACCGGATATCTGGACATTTTGTACACGTGTTCCACCAAGAGTGTAGATCAGAGGTATGAGATCACCACAATATCTTAAATGCAACGAGCATTATGATGGATGGCGCCTATTTTTGCTTCAAGCTTTTTAACTAGAAAAAGTTGTCGATTAAATTTTGCGCTACAATTTATCAAATACATGATTAATTCTTGATATTTTTATTTGCAACTGAAGCTCAATATATAGTCTTTTGTTACACAAAAGGTAATGAAATTTTCTTTCAGATTACTGTCTCTGAATGTCTTTGAGCCCTCGGCATCAACACTATAATTTTTAGCAAGTCGTTTTTTCTGAGACATGTAGACAACAATGTTCAACTACAGACAATTACTTTCCTAAAAGTTTAAGCATGATTCGCTAAAATATTAATGAATTATGGTTTACAAAGGATATTTGGCATGTTTTTGCCTCTCGATTGATCATAAGTAAAATGATCACTATTTTAACAAGGGTTTATGAGCTTCGATGAAATTAATAGCATATGTAGCTGGAACATAGCCATACATAATGAGGAATCGGCTTTCTTCTCATAAGTAGAAAGATCAAAGAAAAAAAAGTACCATCCATCACAATTCCCGTTGTGTTTAAGTAATCAGCGTAAGCCGGTAGCTCTGACCTACACTCTTGGTAGATTATACGCATACAAATCTTCAGATCTTCAATACCTATGGTAGTCGAGATGTGGTAGAGAGGAAACGTTTTGTCTACTACTGCAAATAGTTAGAGATTTTTGAGGGTATGGATGTAGGCATGGATGTTGATGCGTGGAAACTGAATATTTACATCTATCCTATACCTAAACCCTCATCAACAATCGATACGATTACACAAGCGCAATCGAAACGCGTCTTGCTAGCTTTTGATTTTCATTCCTATAATATCACAGCTACATCCACATAGTTATTATAAGATACATTGCCTTGTATGTTATTCATTGCATTTACACGCAGGTTTTGGCAAGATTCTACCCATGAATCATATGCACACGAATAATACTATTGCATTTACATGCAAATAATATTTCTTAGGAGCAAGTGCAGGATCGAAGTTTCGCGGGATATCGCGTGTTTCATTATAAAAGTTTTCAAACTTGTGATCCTAACACGCATAGCTGTACATGGTTGACTGCTCTGCGTTTGCACACAACAAATTAAATATTCATAAACGAATCTGTCTGTCCGTACGCAAAATTTTAGGGTAACAAGAATAAAGTGCAAGTACATACAAAGCTCTTATGTTTTCTCATGTAAACACACATTTTTCTACATTGACGTTTGGCTGAGTAGACGGTAGAATATTGTCATGAATATTCTCGACTATAATCTGGTTTGTTTACAGAAATATCCAATTTTGTTTTCATTCAAATCACATGAATGACCAATAGCATTGAAGTTTTATTTTCAGATCGGTGTTGATTTATTCTACATGAAAATATATTCATGTTGTGGAGCTCCCTTTCACGATAATGACTCATGGCATCCTGATTACAAAGATCAATAACTTTTTTGTACAGATGCACTCAAGGCAAATTTTGACCCGTTACCATGTGCTTGTGGTACACGTTTCTGTTGTCATTCAAGAGATAGCCTTACGTAATGCCAAATACAACCGACTACACAGTTTTCAACCAATCATATCCATCAATTTTCCAGCTGCAAATATAACAACCAAACTCAAATAATAGAATACTATGTAATATTTCATTGCAAATAATGAACAGATTAATGGTATTACTAATATTGCTTTGCTTGTAAGGAGTAGCAGTAAGTGACAAATGTGTTTATAGATCTCTTAGAGAATATTGATTTGACTACTATCGATCATCTGCAAGAAGATTATCAAATTATTCAAGAAAGTTTAATCTGTAGAACTGTCATTAATCGTGTTTTTAGAAAGTCTACTGAGTGACTATCTTTCTTTCTGTTTTGACCAACGATATTTTCTAATCGGTTTACGCTCGTCAATTATGTAGAAAAAAGGTCAAGAATGCTATGTGAGTGTATCAACATTCTACTTAATGTTTATTGGTCATCCAACCTTTTTTCGATATGTCATCTAAAATATTGGTCTCTAATACCAATGATATCTGATGAAACCGATAGAGAAAATAGCACCCATATATCTACACCGATGCTATTAGAATTGAATCGAACAAAAAACAATTATGATATTAAAAACTATATTGATGCTATACCAAAACCATCATCTGCCTATAGTTTTTCTCATTGTGAAATCAAAGAATAATTCCTCCTTTTAATATATATGATCGATCGTCTGATACCATTTAGTGTCAATGTTGCTTTGTACAACACGCTTATCGTAGTTTTTAGGAAGTTACACTTCATTCTCTTCTCTTCAAAGAGATGTTCAAGGACAGTGAGAACTTTTCCATACTTTTAGTGTCCAATAGTTGTTCAGAAATGTGAAGACGTCATGCGAAATGCAAATTAAATCAAATTGACCATCTACTCGATAACTACGAAAACCCACTACTAAACTCAGTTGCCTTTCAAACTGATCTGTACAAAAATTTGGTGCATTCACCATGTCATACAAAACAATCAATGTCGTTGATTTAGTTTGGTACATAAATTGTACCTTATTTATTTACTGTTATTTCATTTCCTCGACAAAAAGACACCGATTCCGCGTGTTAACGCAACATTTGCATATATATAAATTTGATTTCAGATTCGTGTATAAAGCTAGGCAATATCTGAAACACGCGAATAAAGAGGATACGAAAATTTTTAACAAAGGTACAAAGCCTAATAGTATGTGCTCCCCGATATTTTACCACCTAATCTAATGATACAGTCCTTAGTTAAACATTTCTTTGAGCTCACCACAATTTCAAAGTCATATATTCCGACTCAAGACCGAAAAATTATAACAAAAAAAGAATCATTTCATCATACAAAATCCATGAACGATTGCAAAGTGATCGATGTATACCATCTCCTTTCGGCTACCAAACAAAAAAGGTCACTTTTACTAATCCGCTGCCGTCCTATTTCGAAGGATGTATACCTATTTGACTACGAAGAATGCTTGCAAAACATCAAAATCCGAATCACGACATGCTCGACATACCCATACCCCAATCAGTTCACAATTGATTTCAATTTTTTCATTTGACATTGTCTAACTAAAATAGCAGATCTTGACAATCAATACGAAAATAAAATGTTGAGAAAGATCAATAAAGAAAAAAACTTCTCCACAAGCTCCACAAATCACACATGAAAGTATCGTCTCTGCTATCGAGCAGTTGGGCTTGTGTTCCGTCACAGTCAAACGAATTTGAGCATGTCGTAAGAAAGATTTTTTTAACCTTATAAATGTCCTTAGGCACTACTATCACTTGAATGATAATACACATCATTAGACCAACTAGTGGGAAAATGCTGAAAAGGAGCTTGTTTTCA